CCTTTCTTGAGATGTTGAATTATTATAATACCCCCAATTGAAAATACTCAATTTATTTTATTTATTAATTTAATTAATTTAACCATATTGAAAGTAGATAGCTTTTCAAATTAAAGGATTGTGACTTTTTCAATGAGTTGTGACTTTTCCAAGGGGTTGTGACTTTTTTGATGGGTTGTGACTTTTTCAATAAGTTGTGACTTTTTCGAAGAGTTGTAATTTTTCGAAGGGTTGTAATTTTTCGAAGGGTTGTGACTTTTCTAGAAGGTTGTGTCTTTTCTGCTGAGTTGTGCCTTTTCAAAGGGTTATGACTTTTCCAATATGCAATGACTATTTTCGTAAGGTTGTGACTTTTCGGATAAGGCACAATTAACACCTATTCATACTACTATTTGGTATCTATAAAAAGAGGGGTTTCCTCACACTTTTAAATTATAATTTATTTAAGTTCTCTACTCTTCTTCTTCTTAAAAAATCTCATGTGCTATTTGCAATAATTGATTAAATTCGAAATTTAACGAATTTCGAGGTACCTAATAAGAAAGAGTGGATTAAAAAATTGTAGCAAATCATTCATCAATTCACACTCGTATTTTTTCTTACCATTTTCATGAGTTAACAGTGAAGAAAAGTTGTGGGAGAGACAATAATAGTAAAAATATATGAAAAAATGCATATAATTTGGGTAAGATATTTCTTCTTTGTTTTTTTTTTCCCTCAAACGAAGGAGTTTCTTCCTAATTTTTCTAAAACAATGGGTATCAACGTAGTCCATTGAATTATTAGTTCTAATGTTAAATTCATTATTTCAAAAATAGATTTTCATTTTTACTTATTTTATGATAACATAGCCATGATATTAATTATTTTTAATAGATATGTACGTAAAAATGAACAGAAAAAGTAAAGTGTTTGTGGCAAGAGATTTAAATCAAATGGAATACTAGAGTGAATATAGCATGAACATATATTTTCATCTTCCTTCTTTATTGGCTATGTATTGTTCCATATATTTTTTTCTTTATGTCACAAGATACACTCCTTACTAGCCATACAAAAATAGATAAGAAAATAATGATTGATCATAAAATGATCTTAAATTAAATTAATGAATCGATAAATAATACTTTACATTTTATTCATCTATTAATAATTTTAATAATTTAAAAAATTAAATAATTTATATCATGATACTACAACTATATGATATATATGCAACAGAAAAAAGAAGAAGACTACAATTTCACAAAGATAAGGTAGAAACTAAATAAAATTAAATATTTTTCACCATAGGTAATGTTATTCATATATTAAAATTAAATTATTCTACTGAAGTATATATAAGTATCATTCATGATAACAATCAAGTACACTCTTTTGGTAAAATTACCTCTCTATGATAGCCTTACTCAAATATTAACAGAGTAATAATATTTTGTAAAAGATATGTTACATACAAAGATAAAATATTGAAATACTTATGGTAATCCTTATTGGTGTCATGCACATACTAAATTTGAAGTATGAATATTTAAGACAAAATTTGTACTTAAATGGGGTACATCATTTATGTTCATAACCACAAGAGAAAAGGCTATTAGTGAAATTTTTTGAATAGATATTTCTTTTTTCTATTTTGTTGGTTAGATTTGTTTACAAAAATGAGTGAAGTAAGAAATAATATTAAAGAAATGTCACTTTCTCCCATATTTAAATTTGAATGTATTTTGATATGTTTTAATGATATCTTGTCATTTTGATCTCACAATACAAGTAACTCTATGACAATATGTATTAATAATTTAACAACACGTGTCCTATGTTAGTTCAATTATAATTAGTTACTAAAAAGCTTTAATTTAGTAATATTAATTCTATTTTACAACATCATATACTATATAAAGATACACACGTGTAACGCATGTGCCGTTAAACTAGTGTATATATATATATATATAAAAAAAAAATTATATCTTTAAGGATAAGAATATTTCTTGAAAAAATATACAGATATGTCACCTTGAATTTTGGTGATTAAGCTTAAATAATTTTAGGATGACGTTTCTAGATGTACATTGTTATGAGATCACATACAGAATTGACGAAAAGATCGATTACAAAAGGATTGTTAAAAGAACTCAATAATATTTCTGACGGAATATATTCAAGTGATAATGCATCAATTCTTACACTATTTAACAACACGTCATTAGTGTTAAGTCTAATTCCATTAGAGGGAAGGGAACAATTATCGATAACTATTTCAATTACGAGTATTTATATTAACTTCTGCAGCATATAATAATAGATAAAGATTTTATTGAATCAAGCTTCCATCACCATGATTGAATTAGGTAGATTATATTTCCTTAAATGATCATTACCTATAGATTGCAAATTTACTATTTTCTCTTCTTTGTCTATGTAACAATTTTAAATTTTGAGTTAAGAATTCTATTCTTTCAAATTCTTTTAGGGTAGAATCTTCCCGAGCATTTATGGTCATTTATTTTCTCACTCTATTACCTTGACATTATGAATGATCTCACATAATTGTGTAAGTACGTATTTATATTAATATATATTAAATATAGAAGACTTGGGCTTGGATCGGAACTTCAAAATAAATATTTTTTATAAAGCTTAAATATTTGCTCTATAAATAACAATGTTTTTACAGACAAGAATAATATATATAGAAAGAAGGGTCATATCATATATATATATATAATGCGATAGAAATTGTACAAAATAGGTCCAAATTAAAGTGCCGAAGAGACAAAATAACTCAAGATAGAGATAATGATAGTTTATGCTCACTCAATAATACTATTGTGATCATCACTTTTGAGAAATATTTTCACAATATCCAGGCATGGTTGCATAACGGTATTCCTCCATGCTTCGTCAACAGCTTCTTTTCTATCTCCTTTGAAAACGTCAGTAGCAATAATATGATGCACCAACCTCATTTTGTCATTTATTAACCGTTGAATCTTGTCAAGTTGGGGACAAATTAATAAACGAGTATTACGCTTGATATTAGTAATTGGCGATTGAAGAAACATCTTCTTTGATTCATCATCTTCGTCTATATTTGTGTCTTCTCTTAAATATTTGTCCATTTCGAGGACACCAATGGACCGTCAGATTCCTTTGGTGTAATCTGCATCTGGAATGAAAATCTACCGCACCTCATCCTCTAGCCCTGCATGCAACATAAATTTAAAGAAGAGATTTATTTAGTGGAACATAGATTTGATAACCAAAAATATTATTAAGAAAATTATATAAGAAAAGTTTTTAGCTAGATGCATGATTATATCTTGATTGATACATAAAACAATTACAAAACTTACATGCATTGACCATTTGATCAACCCTCATGTCAACTCGACAATTCAAGACTGATTGCTCTACATCAATCCAAATAAAGCAAGTATCATACTTATATTTGTACATGAACATCGGGTCTTCCTGTAATGACCCAGAAGGTCATTTTTGGAAATTTTGATTATTCGTTTAACTTGATTTAATTAATTGATGGGTAAATTGTAGATAATTGAATTAATCGATAGTTAATGGGCTAAAGTGATCATTTATTTAAGACCATATACCATTAAGCCCATGTATTAAAAATAAGTTAGTGGATTTTGTCAGTTTTAATAAACAATTAAGTTAGAAAAAAAAGAGTCAGAAAACACAGAAGAAAAAGGAGAATAATAGAAGCGGCATCGAACGAAGGAAACGAATCGCTTCAGGTAACCTTAAGTGAAACTTCAATATGTTCTAGATGGGGGAGGCCCGTGGCAAGCACGGGCCCAATAGTCAAAATATTATGCTTGTAAAAATATTAATACTAATGAATCAAGGGTGATACCTTTTGCAGCAGAAGGATAATATCATATATTATATACTATTAGAAATATTTAGAATATGTACAACAGACATCAGTATGATGCAGATGTTTCAGTTTTGATATATAAGATTAGCATGTCATTGTTTATCATATGTAGAGGATACAAATTGTGCAACAAGCTAAGAAATGTCTACTTTATAGTTATACTTGGATCCACATGTGACTATTTAACACGTGTTTGCTCTTTAGTTCCTTATTTCTCTTCATCTTCTTTCGGGTAGCCCCATTTTGTATTCACAAATTTTCTGGTGCTTCTCTCTCTTCTTCACTCTTTACATGTATCATCTTTCTTGTGTGCTTGAAGATTTTGGGGCGTGACACTTTCAAATGAAGTTGAGACGATAATTTCACTTATTTAAAGGAAAAGTTGAACAACAATTTCTTAAAGCAAAACCTATCTCACATGCATAATGACATAAAATGTGAAAACTTCTTCATAAAATATTGTGTGTCAAAAATACAGATAATAACTCATTAAGTAAATGAATATTACCTAAATCATTTCCAAACATCATTAGTCTCCTATTGTATGATCATCCTCTCAATTCCACAATTGTAATTATGAATATGATAAACTATGGTGTTTTGGTATCGTCTGCCAGTCTGCTAATAAATCAGAAGTTGCAATTCAAACAATACAAAAATAACGGAAGAAATTTAGATGATACTAAAAGCATAACTTCTATCTAAGAATAACTACTAAATACTAATACAACATCATCCAAAATAGAACACTATGGTTCCCTACAAATCTTAAAAGCTTGAAAAGGGTGTGAAATTGTACTTGAAGGCTTGAAAATTAGA